TCCAGGGCTCTGTGCAATGCAGCTCCTGCCTGTCTGAGGGCTGCTCCCCTCCCCATGCGGCCCAGCCCCTGGCAGGAGCATCCTCCTCATCAGTCACAAAGACAGACCTTGGTTCACACAGTTCTCTGCAGTGCACGTGTCCTCCCCTCCTTTCTCCACTTAAACTCTTTAATAAGCCACTCTTCTGTCCACCATCTCGGCGGAGTCTCACAAGAGCTCTGGGGGCTAAATCACTGTCCCCTTTTGAAAAGTGAGGACTTGGAGGCTTAGAGAAATGAGGAGACCTTCCTTAGTGCTTGTGTGCCACAGAGGTAGAGCTGGTGGGCCTTCCCCTCTTGCGAGGGTTCCTTCCCTGCAGGGGACTGTGAGTGTGTGTGTGTGAGTGTCGGGGTGTCAAAAGGCCTCACTCTTGGGGTGTGGGTCTGAGGCAGGGAGAGGTGAGGCACATCTCCTGGTGTTTCTCCTTCTAATTCCTCCCAAACCTACACTGTGGCCAAAAGACTGGCGATTGCTGGTCCTTCGCCCTTGGGCTTGTGTGCCGTTGCTCAGCCCCTGAGGTAGCCAGGGGTCTCTGTGCCAGGAGGGGTGGGTGAGGCCTGGATGGAGATGGCTGCACCTGTGCTTGAGTCTTGGTCAGGTGATGTGCTGGGCTCTCTGTGAGGCAGACAGGTCTGCTCCTCACATCCCCCCCACCCCCCGGAACCCTGTGTGCATCACAGGAACAGGTCTGTGAGGGAAGGACTCCTACCAGGCCTACTGGATGGGTCTGGTCTGAAGCAGTGACACTAGCCATTTTCTGGAAGCCATACCTCAGCCTCGGGCAACATGAATTTATCTTTGGGATCCCAGGCTCCCTTTGGGTTCTCGTTTCCTCTCTCAGCTGTGTTAATAATATGACCTCTTCATACTCTCACCAGCAAGATTTACACTCATTAGTAGAATCAGTGCTAGCTTTAAAGCTAAAAGAGAAAAGCCTGGGTTTTGGTTCCAAGACTCAGTTTCTGCATTTCTAATTCCCACGAGCTTGTGGGAAGTAAGAATCAGGTGAGATGACGTGAGAGACGACAATTTCTGCATTATATGGCTCCATACACTTAGGAGCAGCTGTTCCTTTCAGAGCTGTTTCAGCCCTCAGCTTAACCCCAAGGCTCAGAGATCGTGGGCTAGGAGTGGGATGGTTTAGCACAGAGGGCTTACCTGTGATATTGTGGAACATCTTGTAATAGGGCTGCTGGCAGGAGTATCTGATCTCAGATTTGTATGTGGTGAGGTTGTTCCTTGTGGAGAAGGTGACCAGCCCATGTTCCAGCTCTGCTGGGGCACCACAGTCTATAACTGAGAGAGAAGAAGTGAGACTGTTCAGCGACCTTTTCCTCTTCCTCTTGGGGCCATCTGATGGGTCTGTCTCATGCCAAAGTACAGGTTGTACATGGCACACAGCTCCAGACAGCAAAGTTATAGTCTATCTGAATGGTGCCCCTGGGATTTTGCAGTCTCTCCCATCTGTTATGGTATTGCCATGTGGTCAGCTCAACTCAGGGCAGAAGTCGGTCTGCTGAGATTTAAGCAGACCCCAGTCTCTAACCCACCGTGGCCCCTTTCCTTGACTTCCAGTTCTATTGTGCAATCCTCTCTGCCTCTCTTGCCCAAGCATGAAGCCCACAGTTCAGTGAGAAAATTCTGGCTGACATGAAACAAAGAATCTTCCATTCTTTCAGTCCCAACCACAGACTGAGTAAGAGCAGTGAATGTTCTCACATTGGAGCTTGGCACGAAAGACCAAACCAAACAAACAAAAAACGCAGCTCCTGCATGAGTCCCCAGCCCCACCCTGACGGCTCTCTACAGGCAGCTCACTTGGTCACAGAAGACAGGAGACAGGGTCAGAGGTGGACCAGCTTTTAATCTTCACCCGCTCATTTTCTCCAGCTGCTGGTGGCTGGACACTGGGGCGGCTGTACTCCCAGTATAAGACATGGCTGAAGATGCCCGATCCTTAGAGGTGGTCTTTGAGGAGCTTGCTAGTCCACC